TATAACAGGCATTGTCTTAAACTCGCGCATTGTTTTCAGTATTTTTTAACTTAAAAAAGTCACGTCTCTACAGCCAACTTTCTCTACTTCTAGCATTTTATAGTTACTAGTATCAGAGTCCAAATTAAATGTGTAAAGTGGAGATGGAATACAATTACTTTGCTAAACTTACTACAGAATCTTATTTTAGAAAATGTTAATGAAGCAATGACATACATATTAACTTCTTAATTGATATTCCTTAATATATAACGATAAGGAAAAACAATATCATCGTCAAGTACAATTTCTTCTTTTTTGAACTTCAATTTTGCCTCCAGTTCAACACAACTAAAACTGAAATTCTTCCACAATCTCATAAGTAAACTCTTTCAAAAGACGAGTCATACTGGGAAAATCATCCTATCGATTCTTAATATAGAATTCTGTGATAACGTCCAGTCAGTATTGTCATGGGACAGTTGGGACTTAGTAGGGACGGGACAATTTCAAAAATGCTTGCTTGGGACATAGAAAATATACAACACTGCGTCCAGTGTACTGTCGATAATTCAATGTTGTAATTGGATGTTAAATGTGAAAAATTTTTTTAGTTCAATGATAAAAAATATTATTTTATTGATGGTGGTTCTATATACTTTTTGGTTAGAATTTAATACAGTACCAGCATAAATCATCCAATTTTAATAACTTGATAATCAATAATTATAAAAAATTTCTCTTACAGATTGATAGTTTTTTTTAGTAAAACTATAGTTTCACCCAAGATTTTGTTACTTAGTAATCTATCAGTTCTAAATAATAGGGTTTTATCTCCTTCGGGTTTATTAAGGAGGGGGCAAATGTTAATTCTGTAAGAGGCTTTTTTATTTTATGTTTTCAAAAAGTTCTAATATTTAAAATTTTACTAATATAAAATAAAGAATTCTGATTGGTTAAATTAATTATTATGTATAAGATCTACAATAAATTTTGGTGGTTTGGCGCAGTATTGTATGATTTATGCTGTATCATGTTTACTTTTGGTTCTTAGAATGGTGCGCACCATCTAAAGTCATCAAACAGTTATATTCTATAAAAGGTATAAACTTCTCGATTATGAAGTATATTCAAAATTTAATCCGTAAATATGGTGGAAAAAGACTTATTCTACCATATTTACGGATTAAATTTTGAATATACTTCCTAGTTGAGAAGTTTATACATTTTATAGAATATAAATGTTTGATGACTTTAGATGGTGCGCACCATATCATTTTATCTGATTGAGTGGTGAATTACCCTTAAAATTTCGACTTAATATATGTACAGTACCACAAAAAGTATCGCCTAATTTTTTTAAAAAAATGAAAATTTCGATTTATTTCATTTCTGCTTGATATACATAATGTTTTTTTACCATTAACTAATACATTACCCACCCTCTATATGGCTTCAATATCACCTCGATTTCTTACGGCATCGAGTTCACATCCTACCCCAAACTAACACATTAAATTTTGACTGCACTTTCTTCAGAACATGTTCACAATTTTTGAAAAGATTTTACACTTTAGAATATTGTTTTACGATGGTTTCTAGATGTTTTCTATGAAGCCAGGTCTGGGAGAATACGTTAATTGGTTCATGATCATTAATATTCCTATTTCGTGATCTTTTTAGAATTAGGGTTAGAGTTAGGGTTAGGGTTAAGCTGAAACGCCATATTTTTTCAAATTAATGAGCATAATATATTATGAAAAAAGATGAAATTACCTTAAAGAATCTTCGGGTAAATTTTTTGTTGACAATGTCACGAAATGGCTCAGGTTGTCTTTTTTGGCTTCTTGTAAATGTGCATTCTTTTTCTTGTTTGTTAAGAGATTATGACCTTCCAGACCCTGGTAAATTTTCTTTTTTCCTCTTTCTCTTGTATTCGGCAAGAGACCATTATCCCGTCATCGAGTCACGGATCATTTTTCTTGCAACTTGTACGGCACTCAAAACCCCAATAAAAATTACCCGTTTTACCCTTGTCAAAGTCAGTCAACTGGAGGCGGTATGTGTTAAATTTACAGCCAACGAATTTCGCCCAGTGTATGTTCAAAAGTCGAAGAAAGAAATAAAAATAAATTGCAGTCAGTCAACAATAACAAAAGGGGGAAAACCACCACATTTAAATTTATGTTGATGTTGCATAAACTAACTGTATGAATGAAATATTTTGGTATTGTATCGAAATGAAAGAAAGAATATACAGTTGATAAACAAAAGTATAAAATAATTTTTACAATTATCTATATTACAATTTTTTACAGGCAATATTTAATATTGGTCAGGTATTCTCCATTAGCAGCATATTTTGAATTAAATTTAATCAATTGATTATATCTGTATTTGATGTTCTAATTCTGATCATAAACGTTAATTAGCATCTCTGAAATCTGTGTCCACCCGCAGTAGCTGTAACCCGGCATATAATAATAATTAAAGGTTAATTTTAAGGATAAATTTAGAGTGTGAACAAATTTATTTGTAAAATTAACTCACCGACGTTTTTTATTAGTGCTTCAAGTTGGATTTAGGCATCTGTTTCCCGTATTTTCGTGTTTTCATTTTCCGGTGTCGGATTTGTTTTGCCGGACTGAGCAAAAATTTACTTTGTGTTACCACGGGTGGGCACAGATTTCAGGAGTGCTTCAAGTTATGAATCTTACGTATCAGGTTCTAAACCTGTCTGAACAATGTATTATTTAACAAACAAAAAAGCTTGATATCATTCAAATGCTTAAACTAACACCAACCCTATCCTAATTTGGGTCGATTTCATATTCACACATCCCTGTTAGGTGCTGATTCGAGCCAATTACTTGATAAAAAATCACGTGGATGGTTCGCAGCACTAAGAAAATTTTAACGACGATCTATTTTTTAAAAATTTGCCCAGCACTATGAAGAGATCGATAGAGTTATAATAATTCTGCACTTGGATGTTTTTTCTGATTTTTGGCGGTAACCTCTATTAGAAGTTTTCCCAGTCCTCTTACAACATATACATATTCACCTTCATCCCGTTGATAATTACATAGCACTTGCTTTTCTTTGAAAGTATGTAGAATTGACAGATACAACAATTATTATTCAGTGTAGTGATAATAAAAAATGAAACATTCCTTTACTTACAACTCTTGTGAATTAGCAATGTTTTTTGCACACTTGTTAAAAAAACTTATTCCTTATAAATGATCTTCAGCCAGAAAAATTTTAGTGATTTCTATGATAAAGCGTAATTATGTGAACAGTATTGGCTAATAACATGCTGAGATATCATCTTTTAAAGTCACACACAGATGGTAACCGTAATTTTCTCAAACTTATTGGTTAGATTTCCCTTTTCTACTGAATAGCATCCATTTTCTACTTAAAACGAGCCACTTATATTATCATAACAACCACTGTGCATAATATATCCTATCTGATCCCACCTTAAGACTGGAAATCTTGGGACCGGATTGGATCGGATCTAACTTTTAACATCCCTAATTCAAATCAGATGATTGACTGTAATAATTTAAATTCAATACAAATACGTAATTATATGACATCATATGAGCCTAAGCTATTATATAATATTATTTATTATATAAATATTATTATATATATTTTTATTGTTATTATTATTTATATTGGTATATATATATATATATATATATATATATATATATATTATATACTATTGCAATAATAATGGCAAATTCCTTAATAATTTTTGCTATTTCAATATATTCCAATCGAACTAGCAAATTTTAAAGCACTTCATCTCGTAGAAAGCTATAAAAATTTTTATTAGATCAAACTGATTTTTATGATTCTTAACTTCAGAAAAAAACTAAAATAGTCGTGCGACTTGCATAATACTTTGATATAGAGTACGTTGTTTTCTGATATAATGCTTTATCATTTGATTATGATACCGTGTTATTTCAAATTCCGTTTAAGCCCATTTACCTCATAAAAAACCTGTATATTTGTTCACTCATGTGTATTTGAATGCAAAGTATCGTGAGAGTTTTCAACAACTAAAATTAGAAATCAAATAAATAAAAATCTTTGGGGCCTCCTTTTTAATAATGAAAACACATCAAACGTTGGCCCACGGACTTTGTATTTCATAAATCAATTGATCATTCATGCATTATCAAGTGTGAACAACATTAAGTTCGATATTTTGGTCAATTTGCGATAAGATGCTGCAGCATGGATGTTTGTATCTGAGGTTTTATCACCATGATAACTCTAACAATAGATCATATGCTAGGTGAGAACCAACCAAAATTATCTAGATTAAATTATGAATTCATACTATATATAGTATCATATGCAAATGTGGATATTCAAGGCACAACTAATAATGGCCATGCATAATTTACGCCAATTGCATTACATCACAAATTTTTTGCTCTATTTTGGCGGAAAAGGGCGTTAGCTGAATGATGAATACATAATTCGTAATCTAAAGATCCTAATTATTCACGAATTCTATTTCAAAGTTTGAACTAGATAATGATCTTCTTTTTGGCATTTTGAAAAAAAAAATAAACTCGTGTTGATGCTTGACAAATAACCCAAAAAGTAATCTGCACTTAAATTTAGTTACCTTAGCAAGCATGATGACACACAGGGTCAATGCACGTATTACATAACTTCCGACACATGATTCAAAATTATAATTAAGCTTGAAGCACGAAAAATTTTTCGCGACTTTTAAAGAATCGTTGAATTTTTTGCCATTTACAAAACACGGAGATATCGAACATTACACATGGGAACAATGCTTTTGGAAAACAATTATGCACTCCAACAACGCCATTCTTGTTCCCCATCTTTTTCTTCGACCTTCTATGGCAGGCGTTTTTTTTTGCATCTTTTGTTATTGTTTTCTAGATGGAATGTATGATGCGAATAGTAAACTTTAAATAGACAAACATCCCAATCTTATTATCCCATAATTTAATGTCACAATGGGATACTGTGTGAAATCAGCTGGTCTTTCACGACATCTATATTTGGCACAACTGGTTGTAAAAAGCCATAAGGTATGGGATAGGATACTATGACTGGTTCTTAATGCATATCTCCATATTGATTACTTCTAAAAACTCATTGAACCTAAATAATATATAGAGTATTCTATAATTTAATCTATGATATTTATTTAGTTTACTATGCATATATACGTATTACGAAAAGATATTGAAAAGGAACTTTGTCAATGGAGCCAGCTGAATAATGGGCATTAGAAACTTGAACTTTAATTCTGAAGATTTCCGGTACAGATAAAGAACTTTATCAAAACGAATCGGGATTTTTATCTTGAGAATTTAACAAAATCCAGATGGAATCTTCAAAAATCGATCTACTTTAAATCTTTTTATAAAACTACAGTGCATGACACCTCGTCCAACGGTTTTATATTGTTACTACGTAGTAACAATATAAAACCGTTGGACGAGGTGTCATGCACTGTATAATATCATCATATTGCTACACGTAAATAACACGTTCAATCGAATCATAAGCTACAAAGTTAAAGTAACAATATAAAACTGATACATGTAAATAACATGTTCAATCGAATTATAAGCGTTTTGAATGCAAGTATCATGCTGCTATTAATAAACGAATGCCCCCAAGTGGATCTTTACGCAATTTATCTTTTCTATCTTGGTCATTTTCAATATAATGACTGTAAATTATATCGTATAATCACATTTTCACTCAAAAAGGGGGGGGGATAACATTTCAGTTTTAGTAAATATATAAATTTTTATATTATATTTTCAAGTTCTTAGTATCTCTGCTGAAACTTGTCTTTACGGGTTTAAATTGTGTAAGCTTAATACGTACACATGTAATAATATTCTGCTACAAATATTGATTACATGATATTAAATTTAAGTGAACATTAAAGCAGGTTGATAAACTCTACTTGCGTTTACGTGGTCTGAGCTTACATGGTCTGTGTTTTATTTAATATGCTATGAATTTATAGCATTTTAAAATCTGAAAAATTTTCTCGATACTTGTTTAATCGGCTATTTCCTCTTTATCAAGACAATCAATAATGAACAATATAATTTTTCCATGTTATTATCGGGAAACATGCACTCCAGAACGCCATTCACATCTTGGAGATTTTTTTTCGATTTTTTTTTGCTGCATATTATGGCTAATTAACTACCATAGTGAAATGATAAACGCAATTTAGATCGATATCTACTGATAATTTTTATCTATTCATCTCATTGCTGTTGTTTATAAGCCGCCACGTTTGGTCTAATGATTTCTTCAAAGCTCTGGATATTATAAATGCATATAACCATATATATTCATATATACTTATAAATACAGTCAAGTCTTACAATAACACGATTGGTGATGTTATTCTATATAGATATATGTTGGAGAAAATTTTGTTCCAGGCTGACAGTGTTACTGTATCAAACGTTCTTGTAAAGAATGCTGTTACAGTAACCACCAGGGTTGACCGTACGTGTAATATAAAAAATTGGTATTATTTTTAATACTGTTTATTCCGTGAGAAAATACCGTTTGATACATCGAAAGTTCCCGATTAAACAAGACCTAATCTTTTTGTATTGATACTTCAACCCTTGCAAGTACACGTACAAATTATGCATTTCTGCTGCTTCTAATGCTTTATAAAAGCATATGCGTGTTGTAATTTCGGCACAAATCGCTCACATATTAAATTAAAAGAATTTTCCACTCGGAAATGAATTGTCTTTTTAATTTTAATGTTTGTTGGTCGCCATTGCCATTCTATTGCATATTTATTTTCAAATAAATAAAATACTAGTGAAAGCACATCCACATTTTTGAACTTTTCTTACAATTTTCCCAATGAAACAATGATCGACTTTTCTTTGAATCGCGCCATCGTGCATGCAGCAAGTGATTATGGTCATAGCAGTAGAGTACAAATGCATGACAATAATTTGAAACTTCATGAGGCGATTTTTTTATGAATAAACATATTGATTGAGTTTGTATTAGTATGATACGTGTCTTTAATAATCTCATGAATTCCGAATATTTGAGATGCTTGAACTTCAAGTGATTTATAAATTGTCAATGCTAATAGGTTTAAGAACTTTACATAAAGAAAAACAACCAACCTTTGAGTACAGGGCTGACGTTCATTGTGTCATTCAGGTTTTAATTTTTATTTTTTTTTGTACTAGAAACAAAACCCCCCCCCCACATGCAAAATGCAAGCAAGACTAAATGTCGCAATTCTAAATGACGCAATTTATACAGGCGGTGGCGGTTGCGTAGAAAAAAATAGAAATTTTCCCACACGGGATAAAGCAGTACAGTCAACTCTCCCTAAATGCATTTCGCCGAGACCATATGATTAATCAGACATGGGCATGCATTTATAGAGAGGATATATTTAAAGATCTTAAAAGCTTGGGACTAAGCAAAGAACATACATTTAGAGAGGGTTTATTATATTTGTTTCTTTGTTTTGTTTACTCAAGTTATTGATTGAATAATAGATTATTAGACGAATATTATAATCATTTACATACATATAGAACAATATTAACTGTATACTGTATGTAGGTGAAATCTTTCGGAAAGTATATACGCACATTACTAGAAAAATCTATTACTTATTCCATAAAAATTTCCACTCACAACAATTTTTGAATATCATACAAGATTAAGAATGTTTTTCTTATCAGGTTTCTTGCTATATACAATAATGAAAGAACATAATATACTTTTATGTGATCAAACTCTTTCTCAATTTGATAGGTTGTCAAAGCGAAATACTTCCCAGGTTGTTTCAATGTATTTTAAGCGATGATTAATTTACTTGGAAATCATATCGACATGTGTAAATTCACAGTCAATCCCTGTTAAACCGAAGTCCTAATTAAAACGAATTCGGTTCCAGAAACAATTATAGGAAACCTGCCTCCTGAATTTTCTGATGACTTCGATTTAACGTGTATAACTCGAAGAAAAATCACTGATTATACACTAGGTGGTTTTAAAAAGTGAACCTGCCTCGATAAACCGAGTTTAAATAAGCTGGATTTTCTGATAACTTCGATTTAACCCCCGGGGGGGGGGGGATTAACTGTGTAATTCGAAGAAAATCATTTATTATATTAAAAAAGTGATCATCTTATATCGATATATTTGCTAAATACTATTTTCGGAAAACCGAAGTGGTCGTAAAATTCTGTTTATCGAGGTTTATTTGGTAAAGTCAATTTATCGAGGCGGATTTACTATAACTGTTCCTGGAACAAACTTCGGTTTATCCGAGGTTTTAACGGGTTGAATGTAATTTCAGAATCTACACATGATGTCTAAATCAATCAAAATGAGATATATATGTATTCATCATCATCGTTATCATATATCAATCACGTAGGCGTGCAGATAACATACACGTCACAATCAACCGGCAAAAAGAGAATTTAATTAGACATACAAAATAGTCGAGATTCCTAAAAACTTGTTTGATTTAACAAAATTCTAAATCTAATCAGATATCGTATGATCGTGCATCTCTATCTCATGAAAGCCCAGGCTTTATCCGATTGAACTCTATTATAAATCATGATCGATTTTCCACCTAATATTTACGATTTGTGAAATTCGCATAATATACGTGTGTTTTTTAAGGTTTCCGTATTTTTGGTTAGGTTATAACAATTCGATGTAATGAACATGGCTTTTTTGTTTGTTACTTGTGTTTCGAATGGCTGATTTTTCCGGCACTTACAAAATTCTAATGCGGTAAAAAAAAAAACATGCCTCATGAGATTTATCGGCAAAAAAAACCACGCCTTATGATATTTATCGGCAGATGATTTACCATATCTGTTTATTATCTACTCCACAAAAGTACAAGAATATATTGTCAAACTTTCAATAGTGCTACTTTTTAAAATCATAAAAAACAAAAACAAACTTTATGTAATTCACAAATTTTCCGCAAATGTGATATTGTGTGTCATGTCATGCACAGTATATCGTATGCATGTATGCATGTTCTTACGAGCACAATCGAATGATAATCTGCAGTGCAAAAAAAAACGCTTATAAAATGGATCGGTAAATGCCTATAATTTCACGATCGCAAAACATTGATTTTTTTTAGGTTTCACACTCAACGTTTCGCCTCTTGGTTCCTATCGCAAATTTTTTTTCTCGTTACGAGGGCGCCAAGTTGCTGATTTTTAGTCGAGTTGAAATGTATTTCAACGTCAGAATCCAAATAGCCGATTTTACAAATACGAGCTTATTGTTTATTACCTGTAATTAGTCGGTCATCTGCCTAATATACTTGTAGTCTACACGGTCACATTCTTTATAATGGACGCTTTTATAGTGGTGACTATTAAAATCTCGGCTATAATAAATTCTGTTCGATATAATAGCGATCGATTTTGATACACAATAAAGAGTTGTTGTGTATTATCGACCGTAAAAGGTGATCTAAAATACCCGCCGGGTACAATATATTTTACATAGATGCTTTATTATTGACATCATCTTTTTGGTATACGTTAATACCTGTGTCTTATACAAAGAACGCGACCCAAAAAGTAGGGAGGGTACTTTAGACCACCCTTTATGGTAATAATCATGCGTCTAATCTAATGAAAAAACTCGAGTATCCTAAATCGGTATGAACCGTTTAATTTACTATAAGCAGAATTGATATCAGGTTAAAACGAAAATAAAAACACATTTATCAAAAAGGTTTTTGCGTAAAAATGAATTTCTTTTTTTGCTAGAAACATTATTCTGTTTAAATTCATGATAATGCTCAGTTATTGGTTATTGAGATTTGCAATTCTTGGTAACGTTGGCATGATGCAAAAATACATGCTGAAATCACGGTATTAAAAAAAATTATGCAACTGTCAGTGTTGTCACTTGGACGTAAATCCAGCAATTTGATTGGTCAGGACGTTTGTCCCAACCAATCAAATTGCTGGATTTACGTCCAAGTGACAACACTGACTATAGAGGTAAACCTCCCCACAGGTGAGATTTTTATTATATTTAATTGGCTAATTATTTTTGATCACGTGGAAGGTGAGATTTTTAGACCCCCTCCCCCCTGATAATACGTAATATATGTCACTCCCCTAATTGCAAATTCTGACGATAATAGCGCGTCTGGCTTGAATTTAATTAGAAATAACGTTTTAATCTTTTTAAATCATTAAATAACTTATTTATTAGTTTGCTTTTTTTACTCGAAAATCGAAAAATCGGGAACCGCGACATAACGTCAAACAAATTCTGTATGGCGTGTAAGCA